AGGCTAAAACGTCCCAGTTGACACTTTCTGAATATCTGCATTCAAGGAATACATTTCATTTGGACTTGTGGAAAGTCAGATTACCATTTTTCTACTATAAGTGTCTATTGATAGATTCTGTGAAGACATAAAACGAATTGAAATATGAAAATGATACATTTCGATCGTGGAGAATTCCTGTGATAGATAACAGTACTATGACGTCATAATCAATCATCATAAGTACCTGAACATATCACTGTCATTCTAAACTCTAAAGTACTGTCGTGCAAAACGATGTGTTGTTTCTGTATTACGAAATCTTTAAACGTGAATAATTGAAAACTACCATTTAATGGTAGCATAGTAAAAATATGAAGAAATATATTTATGTTACTTTTTAATTTCCTCGGACGTGAATACATCTCCATAAAAACAAATATTGAACTAATACATGTAAAAACTTACAAGGAGATTCTCTCATGATAACTGTACAAAAAAACAGTAATATACACGTATCTCTCTTAACTGCTTGCAATGAAGTGTGTATTAGGAAGGCAGCTAGTCATCACCACCCACCGCCAACTCTTGGGCTACTCTTTTACCAACGAATAGTTGGATTGACCGTCACATTATAACGCCCCCACGGCTGAAAGGGTGAGCATGTTTGGTGGGATGGGGATTCGAACCCGTGAGTCGAGCTCCCTAACCACCTGGCCATGCCGGACCTATCTTAGAATATGAAAAAAGTGCCATTTAGTGGTCAATACAATACAATATATGAATTTCTACTTTATTTAGTGCACTGTATACCACTGCAGGGAATCGAACCCCGGAGTTTAGCATTGTAATTCCGTAAACTTACAGCTGGTCTTCTGGAGGACAATCTCATAATATAGAAATCTCTGAAGTTTCATCAGATTTTGGTTTTCTTTTGAACCAAAATAATTCATTAGCTTTAACGAAAACAGTTTGTCTGCTTGGTTTATTTTTAGTGGAAAAACGCGCTTCACACACTGGAAATGTGAGTGCGTTATATGAATGACGGTCAAATCTGACTATTCGGTCAGACAATAGCAACCTAAATGTTATTAGATGGTATTGTTGACTACTTCTTCCTTCCCTCTACTCTGTCAGTTCAAAATTAGTGACGGCTATGCCTAAAAAGCCCCTGTGTATCTTTGCGCGAAGTTTTAAAATAAATAATCACACCAATTAAAATCTAATTAGGCTAAACTGGGCTTAAAACGTCATTCCAGCCATGTGGAAATGTGAAAAGTAGATCAAGAAATAAAAGAAACTATTTCTGATTTTTAAATTTCGCACTCATTGGACAAAACAATGGCAATTGCGTTTCATATAAAAGAATTAGCGCAAACTTAGGTGTATTGTCTGTTGCCCCCCAGTGGCACAGCGGTATGTCTGCGGACTTACAACGCTAGAAACTGGGTTTCGATACCCGTGGTGTGCAGACCACAGATAGCCCTTTGTGTAGCTTTGTGCTTAACTTCAAACAAAGTATTGCCTGTTATAAATACATATTAGGGTAAAATTGAGAGATTTTCTAACATTTGCATATTATATCGCGCTCCACAATTCCGTTTCAGAGTTGTATGTATTAAACAATAGGAAACTGATAACAATTTCATTAAGCACGTCTTTTCTGACATTTTAAGTATTTATGAATTGAGAATATATTCTAATTTTTCGAAAAATGAACACAAAAAAATAATTGAAAGTCAGAAAGATATGGATGCAAAACGTGGAGATTTGTTTGTAAGTTTATTGTTAATACAGTAGATTTTATCACCCTACCGTGAGAAATGGGCAGTATAAGATTTAAAGTACTACAAATGGCATTGTTTTATTATGATACTTAAACTATGGTTAAGCTTTACTAGATTTTACAAGATAAAATGTAAGATAAAGCTTTATTTTTAAGCTTTAATTTTTTTCTGTGATGTAATTGTTAATGGTTAAATCCATACTGTCCTGTTTATTCAATTCACTCTTAGCACTCGCGTGATGTAGTAGACGGTTCATTATAATACGATGTTTAATATGAAAATAATATTTAAAAAGGTTTGATTTTCTTTCTTACCATTCGAGAGGGGCAGTGGCTTTGGACCCACTAACATATCTATGTTTCGTATTATACAATTATTAAAATATGAATAAAAAAATTCCTTTACGCACAGCTCAAATTTGATATATATATAGCTTAAAAACAAGATTCTGTGTCCGTTAGCTCCATAAGTTTAGAAACAAATAGTGTAAATGAAGAAGAATAAACATATTGTAACATTATTGATATAATGTATCATTCAGGAACCAAATCTTGTTTCGTTCCTGTCGTAGCAAATAAAATGTTATGATTTCATCTGTTAGGAAAATATTATTCAATAGATATTAAGAGTCTTGTAAAAACATTTTAAAATGAAACACACTTGATGATCAATTTTAAAATGGAAATAAATAATGTTGTGCTATTAATTCTTACCTTAAAATTCTGATATGTAAATTATTTAAATATAATTGATAATGATTACAAATCACTTGCTTAATCTGGTTCTCACCGTAAGATTCAATGTTCATGAAAACTGATGATATATGTATCCCCTATACTACTGCTACGTCTGTTGATTTAATCGAGCCTGATTAGTTCTGCTATTGGACGAATAGCTTAATCTGCATTCGATATGGCAGATGTAGTGCGGTTTGCTGTTATAACATATTCTCCTTTGACTTCACTTATTGATTCTTCGATGACATTGAAATGTCTTGTCTTTTCGTAATTTCAAAATGTGCTAATTGTATATAAAGCAACGATTTGCTTACACATCAAGCTTACTATATATATATACACACATATATATATATGTTTCGAAAAAGGACGCATCGAACAGCAAAGAAAACTATGGTTAACTTTTAAGAGATGATTAAAACTTAGTTTGGTTTGAGCTAGCTCTCATAGGTGGCGCAACAAACAAGTAGGCGGAGTACTTTAGCTGCAAAATTAATTTAAATAAAAAAATAGAACAATGTTTCAGAAAGCCAGAAAATGAATTGTTAAAATCAACCTTTTTGTATCAAATAAAACAAAGCCCGTAACTGAATATATTTCTGTCAAAGAAAACGAACTATAACATGAAATATGTTGTCTTTAGGCAATGCATACGTACAAGATAAATAGCACGCTTACGTTGCCTAAACGTAAACATTTGTTTGACAGTAATATTATTCTAAAGAGTTGGTTTTAAGCAATGTTAAGTATAAAATGAGAAACAACGTATATTCTCACAACAAGTAGCTCTGACTGAAAGTAGAAATAACTGTAAAGAATAATAAATCAGCATTTGATGCAACAAACTAATAAATACCAGTTTGCACTTTCAAGAATTCTGTATAAGTAAAGTGTTTAGTTTGATTCATGACTCTCTTAAAATGGGAGCTTTAAGTACACCTTTTTTGCTTTAAAATACATAAATTTTCTCTGAATTCAAAAGTTTCATTTTTTTTTTTAGTATTGCCCTGGTAAAACATGTAAAAGACCGACCGTAGTGTAAACTATCATTACGTATGTATATAATCACTTTAACAATAATTGTATATAGTTGATAGACTATTGATACCGATGTCTATAACTAACACACTTCTGTTATTGTTTGGAACTTGTCCAGTACACCCCACGTGAATGACATAATTGGCTGGTTAACTAACTTATATCATTTGTTCATAGTTTTATCCTACATTATTCAAAGTTGAAATTTACTCAGTAGTTAAAATTCCCTACAGTTCTCAGCCGAATAAGCACGCATTAAAGTATTTGACGAATATTCCTATTATATTATCATCAAATAACAACACGTTGAAAAACCTTACTTTAATATGTCAAAGACTCTCGCCATACTTGTATATATTTTTATATGAACTCGAAGCTGCATAAGATAAATTAATTAATGGAAATCATAGACTTAAAGAACATCACAAATAATGACTATAAATATTCAGTTTAGCGGATATTTAAAAAACATGCTCGTGAAAATATGAATATGATGTTTAAACATAATATCGTGTCTCAAATGTTGCTTTAATATAATTATATCTTTTTTCTTTTTTTTTTACGTTAACCCTTAAAATTGTCACTGTCTAGAGATCTGACTATTAATGATTATATCGTTAGTTATTTACACCAATAGTTCTATTTACACAGACGTGAGCGTCGTTGGCTATGGCATTAGCCTGTCAGCTACATCGCACTTATTCTACTATTGTAGGCTAAACTACCGGCCTTTTAGCTTAATCACTATAATTGGTGGCTGCACTATCAATTCGCTATCCTGATGGAGTTACACAGGTTTAGCAGTGACTTGCTACGTCATCAACTCGTCAGCCTATGACCTATTCGATCATCTATTTCTACGCTAGGGAGTAGTTGCTGGTCAGGGAGATACAGCTACTTCAGAAAACGCTAGGAGGGGCAGTGCTGAACGCACGTGCTGCACAGAGAACAGTTCACTTCCTTCTTTGGTCTCGGTCTAACTGCTTTCAGCACTTGAACTTTATACATATTATCCACAAGTCTGACTCACAATGAGCATCGAAAAGCAGGTGCCTAAATTGGCCTTTATGGTCCTTTTGGTCATTGTGCCAAAGATAAGAGCACGCGGTTCGTGCCTTGAGGCTAAGCTTTGTTGTCCAGGCAGGGATAGCTCTTGTGTTGTCCAGAAAGCCCCCCTCAATTCTATCATTGAAGATCTCACTGATCGGCCTTGTTACTGTGACCATGCATGTCTGAAGGTTGGGGACTGTTGCTATGACTTCAAAGAGGCGTGTAGAGGTGAGTGTGAACGCGAAGATGTCACAATGGAAAATGGGTTTGTTCCTTTATTTTTGTTTTCTAGTTAATTGAATGTTTAATTGGGAACGGTACAAACAAGAAGATAAACCAATTTCCATACACTTGTAGACATTTTCTATGAGTTAACTTGCCTTTATTAATCACGGTTCATTAGACACCTTATGTTTTAAAATAAGTAAAAAAATACGTAAATTGAGCATACAAATAATTATGTATTGTATGTAGTGGAAACTTTACTTGTTAAAACCATGAAAATTTGTCTTTTTGATATTCTGACAATGAATACACTCATACAACTGCTATGTTTTTTTCGGACCTTCATTTATGTATATATATATATAGAGAGAGAGAGAGACACACAGCAAACTTCAGCTCGATTTGCCACTATTTTTGCATTCTACTTTCAATCTTTAATGACGATCTACCTAAGCAGGATCAGATATGAGACAGCTATTGTCACGCGTTCGTTTGTTTTTTATCAGGTTCAAGTGGGGGTAAAATTTCAGTTTCGTTCCTTAACCATCACTGCCTACAAATTCCTTTGAAAATGTATTGAACAACGTGTCTGGTTGAAATATGTTGCTTAAAGTTTTTCTGTGTTTTCTTTAGTAAAAGTTAATTTGTTGTTTACAATGCAGTGCAGTATTTCGTTTGTATAATTGAATATTCTTGTGCAGTTTAAGAGAACGGATTTGAAAATATCTAGAATTAGTTAATACACGAGAACCTTCGTAACAAAAAGACTTTACAATAAACCATGCTACATTCCCTGTCAGCTTAATAACAAACAACGTACGGTTAATGACTGGCTTTACGAATTAGCAGTAAAAGAGGGAAGAGCGGTAAATACATAGATTGTTATTTTCTATTTGAATTTTCTGTGAAGTCTAACAGTCAGGACTGTCGTGTGTTGTAAGTATTTATGCTATCATAAAACGGCATCCCAGACTCATTCCACGAGAGGAACTTGACCCGCAAGGCTTTCACTGAAGTTATTGAAGGGAGAAGGGGGACTCTGGGTCTGACCTTCATCTCTACCGTTATTCAGAAAAACCGACCCTCGCGAGGGGTAATCAGTAGTACGACACAGGCTCTGTACAATTTACAGCATACAAATACACTAGTCGTTTTGGTGTGTTAGTTGTGTTTGGAGGCTTGGCCTGTAACAGTAAATGTCGCAACTATAACTTTTTTGTCAAGATGGATCATTCGTGTACAAACATAAACATACCAACTTTAAACACTCGAGTAAGCTTTTGAACCACATCTGATGAACAACAATGAAACGGTTTATTGTTAATATACATGATATTGTATATTATATTTGTCTTGGTATTAATGAATAATGCGTAATACGCTGTTCGATAATCGTGTAATCCGAGACACTGTCCATATTTAAATACAAGCAACACAGAGCTGTTTCAGTTTTTTAAGCCATTTTAAGAATGAGATAAAAGAGACATGCTTTTATCAGAAAAGGTACAACTTGCACTTTTTCTTGCCTCGTAAACATTAGAGTAAACATAGCACCTTTTTATAACGAAGATTTACTATTCTTTAATAAAAAGTTTCATTAACTTTTATTTCATGCCTCCCAAATGTACGTGGTAAAAAGTGCAATGACTTTTTTGATAACCGTCTAGTTCTAGAGGAGCTGTTTCGGTTTACTTACATGAGTAAGCATTACTGTCTAATTCCAGAGAAGCTGTTTCTGTTTACTTACACGAGTAAGTATTACTGTCTAATTCCAGAGTTCTTTCTGTTTACTTACACGAGTAAGTATTACTGTCTAGTTATAGAGAAGCTGTTTCTGTTTACTTACACATGTAAGTATTACTGTCTAGTTCCAGAGGCGTTGTTTCTCTTTACTTACACGAGTAAGTAATACTGTCTAGTTAAAGAGAAGCTGTTTCTGTTTACTTACTCAACTTAGTATTACTGTTTTGTTCTAGAGGAGTTGTTTTTGTTTACTTACATGAGTAAATATTCAATCTATTCTGAATACACAGTCTCTAAACTTCAACAGCAGAGAGCAAGGAACTGCGTCTACATAATATATCATTTACTTGGCTGTGTTTTATCTGCAAAGCCCGGGTCCTCCTTGGACGCTGTGTACGTCAACGCCTTAATCCTCCCTTCACTCGACGCCCGAAAGCTTGGCATTTCACTGACTAAGAAATGAGAAAGAATTATTCAGAACGTTCTCCAGAACATTTTATCAGAAGTATGTGTCAATCCTCAATAGTTTGTATGATTAGGGGATATTCGTTTTGTTTTGTTTTCAAAATTGACTCTTAAATACGTTGCTTCGCTCAGACGACAACTCTGGCCACTATGAATACGAGAGTATTCATGTTTCACAGTGTGAAACTAGTGGAATGCGTAGTGAGTGAAATTTCTTCATATGAACTCGAGAGTATTCATGTTTCACAAACTAACTAGCGAAATACTTCGTCCGTGAAACTAATTCTTGTTCCATAGTCTGTAACTAACGAAATACGCCGTCAGTGAAACTGATTTATATGAACTCGAGTGGCTTCATGTTCCACAAACTGAAATTAGCAAAATACATCGTTAGTGAAATTGTTTCATGAACTATATTCAGAAATAAATGGTACTTCTAAAATGTACCGTAATTTCAGTTTTTTGTCCGTTTGGTTAACGAAAGAGCAAATGAGTTATAAAATTTAAGTCTTGCTTCTTTGATTTTAATAGTAATTTTTAATATTTCCATGCAAAATATTTCAATGGCTTTTGTGGAAAAGAGCACCATTTAAATTGCATGACGTGTTTCAAGTGAATTTGTGATATGATGTTTTATCTCTTGGTGGAATGTTTTAGTCAGTTTTGTGTAGATAGTCTGCTGTAGATGTGGTGTGTTCCAACTATTATCATTAACAAAGCACTGGATATGGCAGATGTAATATGGATGCTATGTTAATACATATTCTTCTTTGCTTTAACTCATAAGTTCTTGGAATTACTAACGTAGTTTCATACGTTGACGTTATGGTTGTTTGACTGGCTTCGGGGGGGGGGGGATAAACTTACTGGTTTGCCAGTTCTTCTAAATGATAATAAACCTAATTCAAATTGAAATAATAATAAAATATATAATCGATATTAAAAATATATAAATTCCTCTTTGGAAATGACATAAATTAAATTAATAATAATTATAATTCACTTACTTAATCTAATTCACGCTATAACAGTTGCTTATGAATTTTTTGATATAAATAGTGCCTGGACCAATACTATATCTTTCTAGTCGTATTCTAGCCGGCATGATGAATTCTGGTATTATGCGAAAGGCCTCATCGACACTAGATATGGGAGATGCATTTTTTCACATTCCTTAAACTAAAATATTGTGTCCCTCAAATTAAAGCGTGTGTAATTATCTTTGTTGTTCTTGTTTCTTAGAGTAAGGCTACACAATGGGCTATGTGCAGTGTGTCCACCTCGAAGACTCGAATCCCGGATTTGAGCGTGTAAGTCCGTAAACTTTCTGCTGACCCACCAGAAATAAATTATGTTTAAAACTGGTTATACGTTAAAATTTCTTTCAGAGTAACACTGCTGTCGTATGTGCTCCCTTTGTGTATATTTTAAAACATGAGTAATTGAGCAGATACATTTTCTGCTCAACATCTGGATAGAATTATTAAATAAAGAGCAATGTGTTAGCTTACAACTGTTACGTGATTTTCTGGTGGTTTCAGAAATTTCTTCATGCCAGTGTTTGCTTTCAAAATCCTCGTTATCTTGGAAACAGTGGGCGCCGTAGTTCTTGCGGATGAAATGAGTTAGCCATAAACTATTAACGTGTAAGATGGATCTATATCCGGAAAGCAGTACTTGGAAACTGCATTTTTATTACTTTTTAACAAAATAGAAGTGAACACACTCACTTAATTACTTATAACCAACCACATGCTCAGAATTACCCGTCTTATTGAGTGGTATTCACAAGAACTTTGATGTTTTGTTCTTTGATTACCAGTACTTTTCTACAGCTTATTGCAGCTTAACGTGGACCTACTGATATGAAAGTCTAAAAGTAAGCTACCAATCTGAATAGAATCTTGTATTACTCTCTTGCTGGTTGTGCGAGTCTACATGCAATTCCTCAAAAAAAAAGACAGACTTCATCATCCACCGTTAGACAAGTCCCTCGGTAAATGTGATATATATACTTCATGTATTTGATTCAAAATTCCTTGGACCAGTTTATTGACCACACACCGAGAAGTTATCGATTGGACACACACATATATATATGTATTATATACGATGAAACATTTCCTGAGTCATTTATGTAAATAAAACATTTTGACTTTTGTCATTTAGTCTTAACAATCGAACTTACCCATTGCTGGTTGAAGGGTAGAGAGTGATTTATTTGTTAATTTTTCTTTCCTTCACCGAAACGTATGATTTCATCGAAAGAATAAAGAATCTGTTAATAATGTAGTAAAGAGTGATGCCGACATACTGACATCTATACAAGCAAGTCAATGAAATATAGGTTTGCTTCCTGATCGCTATATAAGATAAATCGAAGCTCGGGCTAGTAAATAGATAGAGTACAGATGTACAAAGCACTTTATTCTCAGTCTGTTCCTTGCAGTGTGACATAGACACTTTACTACAACCAAAAACAGATGTACAAAACGCTTTATTATCAGTGTGCTCCTTGCAGTGTGACATAGACACTTTACTACAGCCAACTACAGATGTACAAAACGCTTTATTATCAGTGTGCTCCTTTCAGAGTGACATAGACACTTCACTACAGCCAACTACAGATGTACAAAACGCTTTATTATCAGTGTGCTCCTTGCAGTGTGACATAGACACTTTTTACTACAACAAAAAACAGATGTACAAAACGCTTTATTCTCAGTCTGTTCCTTTCAGTGTGGCATAGACACTTTACTACAGCCAACTACAGATGTACAAAAGGCTTTATTATCAGTGTGCTCCTTGCAGTGTGACACAGACACTTTACTACAACAACTACAGATGTACAAAACGCTTTATTCTGAGTCTGTTCCTTTCAGTGTGACATAGACACTTTACTACAACAAAAAACAGATGTACAGAACGGTTTATTCTCAGTCTGTTCCTTTCAGTGTGACATAGACACTATTACCGAAGAACAGGTTTATACAATACATATTTTCAAGTCGATTTATTTCTGTTTATACCAATCAATTTAACTAGAAATGTAAAATGGTATTATACAACCTAAACTTGTCTCAGCTTGGTCAACTTACTACAAAATAATTAAAGGATAACTGGAATTTATACAGTTTTACTTATTAAAACGTCTGATCACTTTTATAAAATAGTTCCAGTCATCTCTTTTAGTTAACTTTTACTTACGTTTTGCATCTGATGATTCGACATGTACTTTGAACTGCAAACGATTGGTCATGTAGTCTATACTGGTACATGAACAGAACATTTGGTGGAGCTCATGTCACTTCAGTATGTTGTATGGTCACAACAAAAAGCAAGGGCAATGTGATCCGTTGTTGCGTGCGTAAAATCAGAATGTCGGCAAGGATTTGAGGTATCCTAGGTCACTCCTCTGAAAGGATTGTTTCCAAGGCATCTTTCATCCTGGAGAGACTTGACAAGAAGAGACGCGCTTGTCAAGAACATCCTTGAAGGGATTGAAGTCCAGTTAGGGTATTGGTCATTCCATTAGGGCAACCCCTTCTTTTTCAAGGAATTTATTGACCAATTTAGCATGATGAGAGTGTTATCGCCTATTATAATGAAGTTAAGGTCGATTGCACGAAAGGTTGTAAGATGTTAACATGTTAATGTGTGGTATGAATGGTATATTTCAACGGATGCAGAGGAGAGTAAGTTTACCAACATGGGGTTGAGTCTAGTTCAGTTTCTCTGAAACATTGCCTGTTGTCTGGCAGCAGGATAAAACGCGACTCGTCTGTAATATATGTATATGTTACCCCATAGTTTGTTGGTTCACTGGACATGTTATTGGTACCATTGCAGGCTAACTTTTTTCTGCTTTGCTATGAGTGGAATTCACATCATTACTTAAGCAGATCTATTTTTAACGGTTTGTGTACTGCACGTTAATCAGTTGTATTTGCGAACAGCTCATTTAGTCGCATAGCACATAGTTATTGTTTGTTTGTGTTCAGGATGATGTTCAGCTTTGTCCAGATGTCTGAGCAACAGTGTCTTGATGGGAAGCATTTATCATAACGGCACTTTAAGAGTCTTGTAGCCATTTTGCAGCAATCTGCCGCGATTGGCCGATTTCCATTCGTCTTTCTGGAGGTTTAGCCCTGGCTCATAGCAATTAGGAGCGCTTTAACTTTTACGAGTCACTTCGAAGTAATAACTAAGAAAACATTGTGAGAGATATCTACAAACGTATAACATAGACTGAATGCCCGAAAGACATATAGGATTCCGGTATAGCCATCCCCTATTTTAAACTACTGATTGAAAGGTAGCCAGACATAGGACCCACTGCAACAAAAGCTTTGTCTGGCTTTCTTACGTTATTGCAGTTGGTAGGATGCAAAACAGGAAAATTAAACGATAAATAACAAAATCAAATCAATAACTAGTATGCTGAGATGAATCCAGTTGAGTTATTTATTGTATATGCGGCTTACTGAACATAAGCGTTTTTTGCAGAAACTTTACACACTTGGATGAACTTTGCAAAAGTAATCAAACTGAGGTTTTTATTTAAAGACATTATTCTAAAACATTCAAGGAATTTTTTTTTTTAACTTGGGAAAACGAAGTTCATTTTGTTGACGAATTAGCAGGAACGAAACAGGTATGATATTTTGCAAATTTATTTCGGAAATTACAGCTTTTGCAGGCTTTGCAATAAAGGAAAACTAGACTTTGGTAAATTCTTGTTTTGCTCAGCTTGGAACATAGAAAAGACTTGCCATTTCTGAGAAAGCAACAGTGATATATGCCCAGGTGCTGATGACAGTTGATATTCCAATTCGTGTTTAAGGTAAATTGTGTTATAGCGTTATGTATGCTCGTGGTAGTCAAACCGAATGTTGATGTAACTCCGTGTACCTAAAATGTTGTTCCACATATAATTTCCAAAATCGAATCAACCATGTCACCGAATATGCTCGCTCTTTCAGCCGTGGGAGCGTTATAATGTGGCGGTCAATCCCACTATTCGTTGATAAAAGAATAGTCCAAGTGTTGGCAGTGGATGGTGGTGACTAGCTGCTTTTCAGATAGCCCTCGTGTAGCTTTGCGCGAAATTCAAACCAAACCAAACCGACCTTCTCAATGCAATGTTTTTCACCGGCATGGGATTTGATGCGTCATTCGCTTAGTGTCAACATTCTTTTTGAAATGTTTTTCCTTGAATGTAATGTCAATCTACTTTTACATTGGTAATTAATATCATAAAGCGTGCAACACGCTCTACATAAGAAAATATTGAAAATAATTGTTCTAACTTCACATTACACTGCAGTTTGTGTGTTGCCCCCCCCCCCACATAAACATTTCAGTCAGTTCACTATCGATTTTAAACCAGAGTCGTGTAAAACAGAAATTCAGTTTCATTTTTTATTTGCCACAAGTCACTATCCAGTAAGCATTTTGTTCGTTGCCAAAACTCATCAGCTAAATTGGTTGTTTAAATTATTTTTGTTCTATCTGTTTTCCACTTATTTGGAAATGAACATGCGAAATTTAATATTTGCATGCTTATAATGTATTGCATCATGTTTCCCAGTGGCCAGGTCATGCATGTATGTATCTTACAGACGTTTCTCAAAGTTCTAGAAGGAAACTAATGATTTATTTTATTTGGTTTGAAGAATATATGTTAACTGGGAATCATAATCGCAACAAAACTATTGTATTTTATCAAAATGGTAGTTGGAAAGAGTTTACAAATAGTTTCTATAATCGCTATGTGTAAAAAACTTTCTGAAAATTGTGTTAAAAAACAACAAGAGTCAGGTGTTTGTATCCTAATGGCTAAAAGTTAACGACAATAAGTTGAAAATATTGAACTACTAAACGAGCAGCCTGTTAATGAAGGCCTAAACAGTAGGCAGTTAAACTTATTATTATCATTGAAGTTATTTGTATATTTTGATAAGCACTTAATTGAAAATAATTAACCAGAAAACTTATGTTCTCCATTATATATATATATATATATATATATTTGGAAATATTCTGTAAGTTTTATCTAAATCTTCAGAGCTTCTTATAAAGTTACTATTTCACTTATATATAAAATCACTTACAACCTCGCTGAAGTGACTCTTCTTATTTACTTGTGGATATGTGTTTTTTGCTTGAAATGAGTTCACATAATGATTGTTATATATAGAAGTATATATGATTTACACCTAATCACAAAACAAAGAAAACAAAAAGTAATTTAGAATAAAAAGTTAAGCCGATTGTCACGAAAAAATCTTATATTATGTAAATAATATTATTTCAGAAAGGAGTTCCAAGGTATATATACATTCGAACATTTTAGTTTAAAAAATACCCGTTAACACATGTACTTGCAACTTATGCCAGTACCAGTGTCCTGAGTTAAAGTCTGACGATTATCTATTGGTTTTGACACAGTGGTCAATTGTGAAGTGTCCGACTGGGGCCCATGGTCTAAATGTGACGCCGATTGTGGACCAGGAATGATGACTAGACAACGTTTTGTTTTGAAGAGTCCTCAGAACGGAGGAGAGCAGTGTCCAGAACTTTCTCAAAAACGGGGCTGTGCTGGGACCAAATGTGAAGACGCCAACCGCAGTCAGAAGGCTCTTAAGGGTAAGTTGAATACAATCAAGTTAAAGGAAGCTGCCATGATGACAAGGTCCTTAAATTGCTTATATATATATATATCAAATGCGAAGAAAGATTATGTGACGATAAAATCCTCAAAGGTAAGTTGAACACATAAAAATGAAGTAACTTAAGATTTAACGGATACATAAAACGTGAAAAACGCTACCCTAAAACAAGGTTTTAAAACGTGAATTTATAACATCAAACATAAAAGAAGCTATATTTGACAGCAAGGGGCTTCAAAAATAATTTTCATGCATCAAACGCGGAGCACCAAGGTACAATAATAGCGAGGCCCTTAAACACAGGTTTAGCGTATTAAAAGTATGGATTTATCTTAAAGGATTTATCTTAAAGATAAGTTCAAAAATATAAAGAGGAAGAGAATATTGATTTAACAAGTCTTGGAAGTGAGAGTTTAATATACCACACGTGAAGTTTATACAGTCTAAAATACTCTGATGCAATAATTTCTTTTCAGTTGAGAATTCATCTCCAGTTCTTTTAATAGTCAGAGAAAATCTATAAATTATTATTTTTCTTTAGAATTTGCGAAATTACAATTGTTTTTCCAGCAGATAAAGCAGTGACATCAATGACTAATCACCATGACTGTATTAATGAGGCATGATTACCAACTAGATGCAAAGTGGTCAGCAGCAATCTAAGTTTGAGTTTTTAGCAGACACTGGTCCTCTGAGATAAGCACAATTTTATCTGGTTGTTCATGCTATCTCTCACTGAATGAAGTTTTTTCTTTCTAATTTTAGTTCAGAATTGTATTTTAAGGAATGGACCTACTACAGAAGTTATAAGTAGGTATGGCCTACTACACAGCAAAATTCTAGAAACAGTAGACTGTATAAGGAGTATAATTTAGGAGTGGTTTTTCCACCCAGTTAAACAGAGACACCTTGATTTTCTTCAGCGATATATACAAAACATGAAATACCATGTTTTCATCACAGAAACTAAGCTGCACTTGTGCAATATGCAAGGAAACTAAGGACTTTAGTACATTTATTCCCAACTTTGTTGATTATCTTGATAAAAGTGTAATAACACATCATCACATAGTCACAGATGATGCACATCCAATAAAATAACTACCACAGGAGCTACTTCAAGCATCAGGGAATTTTCCATCACTCTAATAGAGCTGATGTTGAAGAACAGAGTGACACAACTTTTAGACTTGAGTGCCTCTAGTTAGGATAACAAAAAAGAAAGGGTAAGGGACACTGAGGTCCTTCTGACTGCAGAAGGGTTAATGTTGCAGTGCCCATAAATACATTATATTACCAAATATACATGAATATGTAGATGCACATTAATTTGTGCATTAACCAATGAGTAAATCAATCATATGTCAAAAGACAAGCCAGTAAAGGAAGTTCAGTTCAAATGAGGAGACTGGGTTTTGTTATGTGCCTGCAGCACTATTTCCTCCCTTGACAGCTCAGTTCTTTGAACTACAAGCTTCAGCATTCATGTGACTTCCAAGAAAAGCAATAAGCACATGAATAAATTGAAGTGATATATTATGGACAAATACCCGAGAAACTGAACTAAGTTAAAGTGACTTAAATTTTGATGAAAATTCTGTCTTTGATAACCTCAACTTGAGTAATGAGGAGGAAAACTGGTAGTATGTAGTTATGATAAGCCATATCAAGATTCAGCATAAGAGCTGTTCACATTTTAAGAAAGTCAGCCATGATGCTGACATTGACCTCTAAATTGGTATGGCTGAAAATAGCATATTTATCAGCTGTTAGAATAGACTCGAGAACATAGATTTCAGCCTTTAATTTGGCAGTTTGACTCGAAGAATAGAGGGGCATAGCATTCATTGTGTTTGGAGCTACAGAATGGTGTTATATGGCGATTCTGCAGGAGATGTATCCTAGGATCCACTGGTTGGTGATAGAATTTTATAGAAATAGCTGTGAAATTTTAAAACCAAAAGGAGTTTGTATTCTTTATTTTCTAAACTATACATAATGAATGAATATTTTAATCACAATATATTGTAAGACCAACCCGCTCTTTTCAACTAATAAAGCTAGTTATATTAGATACAACACATAGAAAAGTAACTCTAGAATGGTTAATGACGATAACCGGAAGGTCTAATACACCTGAAAGCCAAAAGACTTTGCAATTCTTGTTATCTGAGCACTCATGTGAAACTCTTATGAGAACAATATTAGTTGTTTACTTGTGAAGCAACCTAAGAACTCTTTTTCGTATCTATATTTTATTTTTAAATCGTGTTTACGTGCAAGAGCATGTCTTCATGTATGAATGGCATACAGATAAAGGAGTGTGTTCTAAGTGACATAACAATAATCTAGACGTCCTGATTGCACATTGCATGTGTTTATCTTATCGCGTTTATCATAGCTTGCTGTCTATATAATAACTGCATTCTTATTACTCCCTCCTGTAGTTAGTATTAGTTGGTTTGTGTGGCGATGTATGCAGTATGGTGAACAAGATGAGAAGTAATCTTAGTTGAGTGAATCAAAATGGAATTACTAATTCTATATTGGTAAGTTGCGTTTCTTGACACATGAAAGGTGATACAATAGAATATCTTGCAGCTAATGGTGTAGGTAGCTACCAAGGACATGAATGTCAACATACCGGTTGTTATAGTGTGTATATATATCTTATTGTATAGGATGTGTGCATGCACTAGTACTGAAGGGATGGTATAAATTCAAAGAGGCTTCTATATCATGTCCAGGATCTCTCCTAGAAATATACAGTTGTGACTAACTAGATTAAACCTTGGGGTAGTTAGCAGAAACCAATTTATACAGTATTTTTAACATTAACACTTGGTACAAAAGACAATGATTTTGTCACTTTGATCGTATAGCTCTTCGCACTTTTGCAGCTTTTTGACTTATTACTATCGATTATCCGAAGACATTGGCTCTGGAGTCACTAATCTTTGAGGGATAGGTGTGGTAATATAACTCACTGAGAGACACTGGTGTTTTAGAACTATACACATTAGATCAAGTGGTGTTTTAGAACTATACACATTAGATCAATTGGTGTGTTAGAACTATACACGTTAGATCAGTATAAGGATGAACTGCACCAATAATAACTGGTCTTAAGTTACTAATAAACTTTTAATTTTTAACTTGGTCGTATAAAATATATTTTAAGACTCTTCTGAGCTTGATTCCTGTGAGACAATTATTTCAGACGTGGACAAATGTTTCTTTTAATTTCCGAGTTGTAGCAAAATACTAACAAAGGAAAGTGTTTTCATTCTCTTCTTCTGGTCGGAAGAAATATCACTGTGAAATAGGATAACAAACCTACTGTTTCTTACCTTATTCCTTAAAGATATACATAGGTTTATGTCTATCTATATGTATTTATATTTATACTACAAAAATGAGAAAATTAAAAGTATGGTTTTTATTGCTGTTATGAAGATTTTGTTTCAATATTTTAATGTGTAACTTACAAAAGTGAAAGATTTTTATCTTCCTTCCATATAAAGTTTCAAAGTTTTAATGTATAACTTGAAAGAATGAAAGACGTGCGCTTTTCTGAGGTATGGGATTTCAAGTTTTTATTATGTAGAGTTTTACAAGCGCCTTATTCATATAAACTTGTGTATATTCCACGAATCAGCAGTTCTTTGTGGCAGTTTGAATTATTTGCTATAAGGTTTATTATGCGCGTGTTCTTATGTATTCCTTGTTAAAGGGTCTATTTTACACGTGGATTTATTTGTAGATTTGACCACAGACATGTATATTTTCATAGTTGGCTGATTTCTTTGTTGCTTCATTAAAAGCTAGTCTTGTTAAGTTTTTGACGCTTACTGATGTATGATGAGAGAGTTGTGGAAAACTGGTTTCCTGTTTGTTAATAGTACTTTCATGACGACGTACGTAATTTGGCGTTATAAAAATCCCCCTATGGTTTCTACTCTGCGTTTGTCATAAATGTTGACTGAAGCTTATGTTTAAACTTTTGTAGCCACAGGCACACTTGTTCACATACAATTATATGAGTATAACTAAATAAAAGTGTTGTTTATTTTATTTTTGCAATAACTATGTGTGTGTGAGTCTCTTTACTTCTGGGTCGAGCCAAACGTATTCAATGCTTTGCAAACAAATCTTTACGATCCTATTGTCTTTATGGTTTTATAATTTAGCTGTCGATTCCAGTTCTACCTTAAATTACTTGTATGTGAATTTGTAAGACTAGTTTGAGGTACGTGTCAGTTATCACGGCAGCCACTATGTAAGACAAATGAGGAGTTTTCCTGGAAGACGTTTTTCGGTTATTAGTGCAGCCAGTATACATGTGAAACCACGAATTTCCTATCAGGAATTTGTCGGTAATCACTCTGAGCAATGGGTCTATATCTGCCGGTTCTAATTAAAAGCAGTGTGCGTGCGTATCAGTGACTAAATATTTTCTGAATGATATTTGTAAGTTCTTACTGCAGAGTGTATGTACATGAATTGTTCCTGGTTAAATATTTGCTTGCACAGGAAGTAGAAGTATATATAGGAATGTTCATCTTTCCTTGAAGACATGGGTCAGTTATCATGATTTTCAGTATGCGTATGAATATATTAGTTTTCTGTGAGATATACTTATCGATTATTTTCCAATATTTTGGTTTTCTTGTACAATTTTATAGCGCCCACCAAGTGTGCTAAATGTTACATTCTAGTTACATCTCTAAATAGCGCCCACCATGTGTGCTAAATGTTACATTCTAGTTACATCTCTAAATAGCGCCCACCATGTGTGCCAAATGTTACATTCTAGTTACATCTTTAAGTCCCTTGGTTACTGAATAAAAGCTACTTACTCTTAGCCTATTCTAGTGACTTTTACAGTGTTTAAACATACTGTCAATTAATCTGGAATTTGCAATCAGTGATCATTTGTGATGTACTTGAAAAACATCACGTAACTCACATTCTTTA